TCGACAGGTATCTAAGATTCATAAAACATGAATTTAAGTGCCATAAATCATATGTTAATGGCATTTTTAATATTTGACTGTATTCAGTTTTAACTGGTGTGTATTGATGGTACCACTCTTGTGACATAGGTGCTTTGGTAACTTTTAGTTACCAAAGCCTAAAGACACTATTTTCCTGAAATATGAAAACCACAGGTAGAAAGTATATTTAATGTATAAAACAAGTAAGATTTTAAGCCATGAGATCCACTAATATTTCTGATTATAATTAATTCTCCCAAGGTTCAAACATAAGTGAAGTCTTCATGCCTTTATTTTCCAAGTGTATTCCACATTTTAGGAAAAAATCGTGTTCAAAGAATTGCCATTACATTTAGTAATAGTACATTTTCTTAAAGAAAACATCCAGTCACAATTATTCTCTAAAAATTTGATGTTATGTACATTAGTTGCTTTAAAAAAGACAAAAATTTTAAATCCTTTCTTTGCATGTTCAAAACTCTTACCATTTTTAACGTATTTCTACCAGATGGGGAAAATATGTGCTTTTGAAAGCCACTTTGGACAGGAAAAAACAATGTCAATTTTTAGAAACACATAAACACAAACCATAAGTGAAATCATAATGAATACATTGCACACAGAAAACATTTAAAGACAAAAATGTGATCTCTATAGAATGCATCATTAGTTGCCATAACCCTAACTATTCACTGCACCTCATCCATCAAGTTCAGAGGCAGGTAACATAATAGATTCCTAAATAAAGTCTGTGCACAATGTTATTGCATAGAGTGGAAAATGGCTACTTGGATGTAAATTTTTTTTACAGTGTGCTTATGTTGCTCTCTCTTGGTGAAAAAGTAGTACTGTTCAAATTGATTATCACTGTTTTTTTTTAACTTTTTAAAAGGTTTTCTCATTAAGAGAAACAGTCTGTTTTGATACAGCATTTTCAGTGTCATTTGCACAAATTAGAGCACTAATTGCTAACCTCAGAACAGCTAGAAGTCCCTTAAATAATTCTGAGTTTCTAAATTGATGTGAATTGAAAGCCAGTTGGAGTACACATTCAAATGTTTTCGTTTATGGACTCCAGGAAATTTCATTTTGTAATAAACTAAATACCAAATAAAATGAAGATCAGGAGGTTAGTAACAATATGAGAAATTTGGCTCTGAAAATCTGATTCACCTGAAGGAGATGAAAACATTAGCAGAGTCTCCCAGGTGCTCTGTCCACTTACATATTGTGAAAGCAAATTAAGATCTACTACAAATGTGCTAGGGAGATAGCTCAGTTGGAGAACAGTTGTCTAACATGCAGAAGGCTCTGGATTCATTATCTAGCACAAGAGAAAGAAAAAATAAGGAAACAAAAAAAGAAAGGAAGGAAGGAGGAAAGAAAGAAGAAAGAAAGAAGGAAAGAAAAAGGAAAGATAGAAAGAGAAAGAAAAAACAAAAGAAAGAAAGAAGGAAAGAAAGAAAGAGAAAGAAAAGACAAAAGACAGAAAAAAATTATTGTAAATATAGTGTACAGAGGGATTATAGTTACAGGAGTAAGGTAATGAGGACATTTCCTATCGAGCATTGTTACCTTCTCCTTTGTTTTTCCCCTACCATCCCTTCCCTCCCCATCTCCCCGCCACAGCCCCACCCTGCAAGTTGTAAAGTTCGTTTTATACATAGTATCTTGTACATCTCATTGTTACAATGGGTCAACCTGTATCCTTGTTTCCCCATTTTGTTATTTCCCTTCCCCTCCCCAAATCAGAAAAATGTATATACAAGATGCAGGGCACTGACATCAAATACAGTGAAAACAGGGGTTATACTCTTGGGGGAGAACATACAGGATAAACAAAAAAATCACATAGTACATTTTAGATACATTAAAAACAATAACAAGAAAGAAAAAACAAGTTGTGTCCCTATCTTGGGGTTCATTTCACTTAACATAATCTTATCTGGTCATATGTACATAGCTTTTGACCTTTTCTGCTTGTCCTAAACTTAAGTTATTGCAAATAAGAGAAACCATGGGACCTATGTTTCTTTGGGACTGGCTTACTTCACTTAATATAATTTTTTAAAAAGAAAGGAAACAAAAAAGAAAGAAAAAGCTACTGGGTAAACACAAGTGGAAATCTAAACTTCTAAGAACACTTTAATGATAGCCAATTTTAATATTGGAACCAGTAGTATGCTGCAGACAGCTGGTACCAGCTTGCAAAGTTAACTGTGTACATAATCTTCCCAACAACATGCTCATTGACATATATTTGACGGATAAAATCTGCCGTACTAGAAGTATGTGAGTATATGCTCTACAGAAATTGAAAATACCATAAATAAAGGTTTTGTGTGTGTGTGTGTGTGTGTGTGTGTGTGTGTGTGTGTGTGTGTGTGCGTGCGCGCGCGTTTATGAGAGAATTTGTTTACAGGACTGGTTGCTAAACAGTAACACGCCACCAAAAATGCCAAAAACATTCTCCCCAAAAAGACCTTCCCTTTTAACTGATGAAAACTGCTATATAATTAGCATATTTTCCTAATTGCAGTAAATGTAAATGCTGAATAAAGTATTTCTTAGGGGGCATCATTATATATTAAACACCACACAAATGAGTATTTCTACTAAGTTTTGTTTACTACTTAGAAATAAAAAAGTATCTTTCCCCATCTCTTTCATACACTTATAAACTAAACATTTTCTTTTCAGTATAGGAAATATTCACAATTAACCATTTCTTCTCCAAATCAAGAGGCTTTGCAGACAGGCATTCCAGTCAGGTGTTTACATAGTTTCTGTAGCAGTCAAATAGTGCTAAGCAGCCTTTGGAAATCCAAACATCCCATTCAACCCAAGTGGGAAATTGCTTTATGTACTATTAACTGTTAATATAGATATTTGATGGTGTGAATGAAGATGTAAAATATTTAAGTAGTTTGTGATTCATAAGCTAAGCCCTAACGTACTCACTGGATTACACCCACTTTAAAAGGCCAATTTTAGGAATCTTTTAAAAATCTTCCTTTCTAGAAGAAAAAAATTAGAGCCTCTCTCTTTCTCTGTCTGTCTCTGTCTGTCTCTGTCTGTCTCTGTCTGTCTCTGTCTCTCTGTCTGTGTCTGTCTGTCTGTCTGTCTGTCTCTCTCTCTCTCTCTCTCTCTCTCTCTTTCTCCCTCTCTCAGAATTCCTCAGAATTAGAACTCAAGGCCCTGTGTTTGCTTGACTTGCTTATTCAGCTGGCCCTCTAACACCTGAGCCATACCTCTAGTCTACTTTCTTGCTGTATATGTTTGGAGATGGAGTGTCAACCTAGGCTACATTCAAACTATAATCCTTAGATCTCAGACTTCTGAGTAGTTAAAATTGCTAGGCTTACAGGTGAGCCACTGATATCTGGCTTGAATCTTTCCTTTCTTTTCGCTTGGGAGATTTACATGTAAGTTTAAGGTAAGAAAAACACCTTAGTCAGCAACTCTTTTAAACAACTGTATTGAAAACTTTAAAATAAGACCTTCTGTCTCCAATACATGAAAACTTAGCTTCTCTAAAGACAAATGTCCAGCAAATGCACAAAGAAATGTTCATCATCCTTGACTATAAAGGAAATGCAAATCAAAACAACATTGAGACTACACCTTATTCTAGTCAGGCTGGCCATTATCAAAAATACAAACAATAAAAAAATTATAGCAAGGATATAGGGGAAAAGGAACTCATATACCATTGGTGGGACTATGAACAACTACTACTATGGAAATCAGTATGGAAGTTCCTCAGAAAACTAAACAGAAATACTCCAGAATCCCAGCAGTAGCATTTCTCCAAAGGAATGTAAATCAAGATATAATAAAGGCACCCACAAATTCATGTTCATTGCAGCACTATTTGCAGTTGCTAAATTATGGAGTCACCCAGATACAACTGATGAATAGATCAAGGAAATAAGTGTGTAATTATTCAGCCATTAAAAAATGAAATTATGTCAATTTTAGACATGAATGAAACTGGAAGCCATCATATTAAGTGAAGTAAACCAGGCTCAGAAGGACAAAGGACATGTTTTGCCTCATCTGTGGATGTTAAACCTAAAATGCAAATATATATGTAAACATATACAGGATCATATATATCACATGTATATATATCGCATGTATATATCACATATATATCACATGTATATATACAAATGCATCTTTGTATATGTATATATAAATCATGTTTATGTATATATTATCTATCTGACTAAAGTGGGGCATATGTCAAGTACTTAAAGATAACTTTTTAAAAATATGACATATGCACGTTAGATACCAATGATGAAACTTCTTTAAACAATTAATATGCACTTAAGTTAAAAAATAATAAGCTGAAACATTTCTTTTCTGGATATAGGCATTAGTGGGAGGGAGCAGACAAATGGGGAGAGGAAGAGGGTGAATATAAACAAAATATTTTTTACCCATCGATGAAAATGGAAAGAGACAACTTGACGAGACTGATTTGGGAAAGGGGAGAATGGCAGAGAAATAATTACGATCAAGAACACTATAAACACAGATTTGTTAAGATAAAGATTCCTTGTAAAACTAATTGATGTTTTTGTTTAAAAAAAAAACTTTAACCTCTAATGTATGGCAGTCTTCAGCAGCTAAAGATGCCAAAGGCATGGAAATGAATTTGTAATTCACACTGTAGTAGTTTGGATTTGCATTAGGTACAGTTCACTGTGTGGGAAGAATTATTAAAGCAAGGGCTGTCTGATTATTATTCTGGTTCTTCTTTTGCCCCCAAGACCTAATTGGAGATGTTACACTTTAAGGTAAAACTGTTAAAGAGAGTATAATATTGGTTAATTAATTATTACATATAAATAATGAAAAGAGACCAATCGAGCTCAACTAAATAGCTCCAACAATGTCACTGAACAGCTACAGTTCAGCTAAGCAATTGATAAACAGTATCAGCCAAGGAAGGCAGAAATAGAATCTTTTAAATTCGTCCCTCTACCTGTTTCCTCATAATGAAAAGCAGTAATAAGGCATTTTCTATATGACAATGCTAGAGAAAATGTGATTGTTGAACAGCAAGCATTGTCTGTGTATCATTTAAACCTCAGAATAAAATCACATCTGGTAATGCAAGATTATTTCTAATGTTATTGACAGGACAAAAAAATCATCCTATCAGTAACACAGAAAGAAAGACTCATCATGCAGCAAAGAACAATCAATGGAAATGCAATTTTCACTGTTACAAGTCATTAAGTGGAAGATATATGAGAATCAGCTTTAAATATAACATATAACCAGAATCTATTGTGAACCCATATAATAAAAATAACTTTTTAAAACTACATCAAATCAATAAAGTATTTATTTAATAAAAATAAAAGTCCTAACCCCTGGGTGTTGTTATTTTGAAAGTTCTCTACAGACAGAATGAAAATGAGATCTCATCTCACTGACTTCAGAAACACATAAATAAATTACCCTAACAACTCTCTGGATACTGTCATGGATAAACCCATTTCACAGATAAAGGAAATGAGAGGCAAGGTAGGCAATTTACTTACCGAGGGTGATGCTGCTGCATCTACATCCAGCACTGTAGGTGCAGTACATATTTCTCACTGGATTTCCGATAAAACTGTACAAAATCCAGAAATTCTTGCTAAGGAGGAATTTTCACCTTGATCTATTTTTTTGCCTCTTGTTCTACTTCATGTCCCTATATAATAATCACAGACACATAATTTTGCCTTCTGATAAATTACCCAGAATACCTGATGCAAATCATGCATTCCATCTGGGAGCTAGAGTACCTCCCATTATGCATGTTCAATGGTTAAAAGAAGTTAAATGTATTTGATAAAATTTCTTAGATAGAATTGTATGTATCCTTATTATACTTCATAATTGTTACTTAGGTAATTTTTCCTATACTAGAATTTGAGATCATGGGAAATGAGGATGTTATTAATAATGTGGTTCTTTTGTAAGGAAGCATAGTTTCTGATACACAGCTGATACTCAGAACATAAGATAATTACAAGGCAAGGCCAAGAAAAGCAGGCTTAAAAGGAATAACTTTTATCTCTATATTAAAGCTAATCACCTTTTTAACACTAAATAAAACTTTTAATGATTAAAAAAAGTTTAGATGGTTCTCTGACTCTCCTCCATTAGAACATAAAATCTGAAGGATTCTTTCTAATCTGCCTGGGCTCCAGAAACCATGTGCTAATGGCTTTTGCCACAGCCAAAAAAAACCAGACTTCCATAGGGCTGTCATGGCCAAGTCCATCTCCACAGGGCTGATTCCACAAAATACAGACCCTCCCTCATTCCTTTAGAATTTACTGTTCCATCACATAAAGGTGACAGCCAAACCCTCATGCATGACACCAAACATTTAAGATTTGGCTAAGTCACATACGTATTCGTACACATCATGTTATTACTTATTCCATTTCCTGTTGCTATAGACAAATGCCTGAGACTGGATAATGTTATCAAGAAAAGAAGTTTGAATCTCTAGAACTGTGGTGACATCTGCCCAGCACTGGTGATGATTTCATGGTATATGACCTCATGGTGGTAGTAGTGATGGGACAGGAAGAGATCAAATCACCTGACCTCTAGAACTATATGAAGGGGCCAGGTTTGCTCTTTCTATAAGAATCTTCTTGAAAAAATTAACCAAGAGCTCTATGAAAATGACCTTAATCCATTCCTATCTCAACATCTCAAATGACTTCTTCTGAACGCTGACTCTTAAAGTCTCCACTAACAATTTTAGCATAACGATGGCCAAGTTTACCACAACTGTTGGGAAACAAATCACACTTAGAGCCTAGCACACTGCAATTCATGTTTTGGCATGCTGATCTTCTCTTTCCCCTGAGGAACTGAACCCTCTCATTCTTATATTCCTTGTGCCTAGAAACTTCCTTTCTGCTGTTGAAATGCTGCTTACATATCAAGACCTACCTAACATGCTCCTTCATCTCACTTCCCAGTGTAGCTTTCTGATGTCTCTAAGTATCACTGTCTGCATAGAATACCTAGTAGGGATTGTGTGTGTGTGTTGGTGAGAGAGAGTAGGAGCTCTTCATACAGTTGGCACACTCCAGCAGTACTTGCCAGATAGTGTTTGCTAAGAAGTAGCCTTAGTATTTATAAGCCTTAACAACTGCCCACTTTCACATCAACTAAGCCCTGCTTGAATCAAATCAGAAATCGCCAATTATAATCTTGCATTTATTGTTATTCTTGCTATATTCTTGTATCCAAAAAAGTGTACACAATAGTTTTATCGTGTTAATACTTAGCTGTTCCTAAGATGGGGGGGAGAAGATTGGCTGTTACAGATTGCTCAGATTTTCCTTCTGGCTAGAGAGAAGAACGTTAGGGAATTGAACAACCTCCCTGTTCTCTTTTCCACAACTTAAGTGTTTCCTGTGTTACCTACAAAAGGACAAGACGCTAGATGAGAGCAAGATCTGGAAATGTGTGATGGGAAGGACCTGGAGTACAGCCGAGCATTGTTTTGGGAGCTCTCAATAGATTTGTTTCCCTGCGGGGAAGAAAGACAAGATGTAGAGATTACCGCAGACTCGGGAAGATATGTGCTCAGACCTTTACAGAAAACGTCTGTTAAGCCCACCCCATAAGTAAAGCCCTCCACCAAGACACTGGAGTGCAGAAACTTTTCTGATCCAGGAATCCTGATGCTGAAACTCAGGTCTTCTGGCATCCAAGGATAAACTTCCTGATGATGCAAACGTTCATCAGGAACAGTGCCTTGGCTAGAAAGGAGGACCTGGGCAATCTGCAACTGAACTCCCCCAATGCTCTGCATCCTCAGTACCTCCTCCCCCGCCCCCGTCTCTACCCACTTCCCTCCCTGGCCTGGGCCTCCTACTCCCCGCTCCCACAGTTCACCTTGTAGGTCTCTTGCTGGACAGAGGATATGTGACCGGTCCTTCCCTAGGTCCAAGGCCTCTGAGGGGGCCTCTGACCCCTGGCACCACTGTCCCAGCGCCTTCCCGCGCACTCGCTGCAGATTTCCCTTGGAACATCTGCCTTTACTTCCATCTCCCATGTCCATTTCAAGCCAATGACAGTGACAGCAAGGAACTGGTGGCTCCATTGGTCCTTCCAGCACTGCCCGCGCGAGGACCCGAGCACCTAGAGAGTAGAGTGGAATGCCAGGAGAGCAGGCCATGGGGTGAAGGCAGGGATGCTTCCATCTCTGAGCTGAGGAAGGTGCGCGGCCTTGGTACTCACATGACCTGGGGGTGCCACCACATCTCTCCACACGCATGTACTACCTGTCTCTAGGGGATCCTGAGCTCAGCTATATATATATATATATATATATATATATATATATATATATATATATATATATATATATATATGCCAGTGGTGTGTGTGTGTGTCTCCAGATGATGGTGAGCAATTGAGTGTACATGCCAAACGTTCCTACTGAATGGATGAACATAACCACTGATCCGGCACTACACATAAGTGGTATTCAATTATTTTCATTTATTTTCAGGGATTGGTGGTGTTTGGAGGAGGAAGTTTGAACTCAAGGCCTGGAACTTGTTGGGCTGGCTCTCTACTACCTTAGCCACATCTCCAGCCCAGCTTTTTGCTGGTTATTTTGAAGATGGAGTCTCTTGGATTTTCTGCCAGGACTGGCTTGGACTATGATTATCCGCTAGATTGTAGCCTCTGGAATAAGTAGAATTACGGATGTGAGCCATCCCCAGCAATGGACTGTCTTATACCCAAAGGATAACTCAATTAGGCTTAGTCACAAAACAGTCTCTTTCTGATCATCTCTGGGATATGTTTTATATACAATGAGAAAGAAAACTGTCATCCATTACTCCAAATGCTAATATTAGCTACTTTCTTCACAAGGCTTTCATGTGGACCAAGTTAATCCTTTTTCAAAAAAAAAAAAAAAAAAGACCCTCTCCCACTTACTAGTTCATTGAACCACCAGGACTGGAACCTGCAATATCTCTACTCATCTATCAGCTATAGAACCTAATAAAGTAGGTTCGCCAACTTTCTTTCATTTTCCCCAAATTTTGATGAGTTTACATGGTAAAGTGTTATGCTGTTACCCTGTCTTCTGGAAATCTAATCCTCAGATAACAGTTAAGTGCCTAGATCAAATCTGCAGAGAGCTGGTGGAAATACCCATCCCATTGCCAGAGCAATCGGAATCAACACCAGAGCATACCAGAACTTCAAGTAGAATCCTGTGGTTACCAGAATGCAATCTGAGTAGCTACCAGTGACTGTAGATGAATCAGGTACTTTCTGTTCGGTTCGCTGCTGCTGAGGACAGTGAAACTGCAGGCCAAATGGCTAACAAAATAAATCAGCTTTGACATTTAAATAAGGCAGAAATGAAATCACATCTTTACCTTTCTTATCCCTTTAAGAACTTAGTGCTTTAGTTAAAACAATCAAAATAAGTGAAATTTTCTTCATGTCCTTAAAGACTAAAGTGACAGGGCTTCACATGAAAAAATTTTCAGTTGAAGGACATGAAAGTTAGAAATGACAGGATGAAACGGTTTGGCAACTGGATATAAGTAATATTGGACTGACAAACCTGGAGCTACAGAACAAACTCCAGCTAGTTCTGAGGAGTCTTCTGTTCATTGGTACTGCTTTTTGACAAGTCTATTGCTTCAGTTTGGGAGTCAAAACTTAATAGAATTAGCTGAATTAGCTTATTTTTTTAAATCCATTTAATTTTTCCCTGAATTTGAGTTTTCATTTGTACTCTCTACATTATGATGTAAAACATTTACTGAACAAATACCAATTTGAGCTAAAATGATATTAGGTTTTGATGATCTGCCTATTTTTAGCCTAAGGACTAAGTGATTTTCTGTATTCACATTTTCATCATTTTAATGAAAATGGGGTAATATGCTGAAATGGTACTTCCTTAGATTGTATTAAGGTTTATATAATCTCAATTTTTCATATATCCTATCATGTACTTTTCCTCTCTATCAGATGTATTGTGAACATGCAGGTATATTAATATTTTTACCGCTAACAGCATGCTGCAAATGTAAAAATTATTTTTATGTTTCTTGATCCTTTTAAAGTATCTCATTGTTACACTAGAAACAACAGAGCTGTATCAGAACAAAGCATGAATAAGTATGCAGAGTTTTGTGATTATCATTAAAGGTTTCCATTACCACAGTGTCTATTTAATACATAGGAGAAGTTTCATATCTGTTTACTCCTAATCTTGAGACAAGAATTCGAATTTGCAATGTGTCTAAGTGGCGCCTGTTTGAGTAATACTCTAGATACTCTTCGGTCTTCAAAAATCTTAGCATTTGATAACTGCATAAAATAGTTCATGATATTTTAGTATCTCATACTATTGTAATTGTTTTATATTGTGATAATACAATTCAATATTACTCCCTGAATACAGTAGGTATACTATATTTTTAAAGGTGGACATTGAACACTATTTTACCTTGTATAAAACAGAATTGCACATAAAAAATTGATTACAAAGTGCTAACATGTTTTTAAAAAAGACAGACACAGCTGTCATGATAAATATTGTTTCTTACAAATAATATGGCAAGCTTTGAATAAATGCCAGCTTTGTAGTTCAGCCACAAATAGATCTTTGTGTTTATACATGAATGTAGTTTCAGATAGCCCTCAAAGCTTCTAGATATACCATAATATTTTGCCAAGTTCTTATTTGTTAATTTGACTTTAGACTCCTATTAAAGACAAACTTTTGTTACCTAAGGCCTAATAAATACATATGGGCTTTCTGGATGGCATTCTGACTACATTCTTAAAACATTTTACATTATTTGTATATCATTACATTGAAAATGTCTTCCTTCTTGAAACACTGTTTCAAATAGTCCTCTAAATTACCCAACTCTCAAGTGACAGATCCTACTAATTCCTTACACTACTTAAATTTTCAGTTACCAAGTCTACCACCAGTGTGTTATCTGATAGGGAATTAAATATCTTGACTTATTTTATTAGTGAAAGAATTGGCTCAGTTTGCTCTTTTCCCAAGTATCTCTCTCTTGTGAGATGCATTGCAATAAAAGGTGCTATGGACAAATTCATTTGAGACTGATGCATGCTCCAGTCTCTCTTGGGAGAATCCTAATTTTTGTGGGTTTGTTTGTTTTGCAGTGTAGATGATTGAGCTCAGGGTTTTGTAAAGGCTGTACATTCCTGTACATTCTCAGTGTATCCTAGAATACCAAAGACTTGGGAAGTAGGGGGGGGGGGGAGTAATTGAAAGTGTGTGGGGGGTAATTTAAAGTTGAGAACTCATTCAATTTTTACACTATTTTCTGAATTGTTTAGATTATGGTGATCAACATTTGGTATCATTCCAAGTTAACTCTCTCCAAATTAGTTGACAAATCTAATTTTGTCTACAAATTAGTTCAATGGAAGTGGAGGTACAGCTTAAATGGTCAAGCATCAGTATTGAGTAAAAAAGAGGGAGAGCACCAGGCGACCAGTATCTTTGCAAAAAAATGCTTAATGTTCACTTTGCTTTGAAGAAACTATGATGTTTTCTAAGACTAGAAATTGCTTTAAGATTATTTTGTAATTATTTTAAATATCAAATTAAATGTATATATCAAATGGTATATATTTATATATCAAATTATATACATGTATATATTTATATACATGTATATACATTTGATGAGATATACTATCATACATATTGGTGTCATCTTTATCACTAAGAAAGAATAAAAACTCAATCCTTTGTAGAATGTTTTAACTTTATAAAAATAGTATTTATCAAAATGTTTTTAAACTCAAATTCTATACTACTTGCTTGTCAATTACAAAAAGCAAGAAATGTATGTGTATTAAAGTACTCAGCACATGGTAGGACTCTTACCAAAAGTGCTTCCTTTCCTTAAAGAAAAACTAGTCTGGAATGGGATTATAACTCAGTAGTAGAGCATTTGTCTAAAAATGCAAGGCCCTGAGTTCAATTACTAGTATTGCAAGTAAATAAATTTTAAAAATTCTAAATGTTATATATAAATATCTAAACAAGATTGTGAATGGCACTGATACCAAGATAACCTTCCTTTTGAGACTTAGTGTGTTTCAACAATGATAAAATTATAAATTTCTGGAAAAAAAATGAATGTCATGTGTGAGATGCTGGCATATTTCTAACCAGATTAGTAATTCTAATTATTAATTAGTAACCAGATTGTAACTCATATTGCCAGAAAGACACAAAAGTATCACTTCTACATTTTAGAACAATTCTACCATCAACTAAGAGGGGAGATGAAACAGTTTTACTTAGCCTGACTTTTATTTATAGAAGTAGTGCTTCCCTGTAGTACATAGTTCTTGGTGTCCATACAGGAGCAAAAATTACTATGGAAACATATCTCATCATCTTGAAGGCTTAATTGGGAGCCAGTCTCTTATTTTTTTTCATTTCAGTCTCTTATTAAAGCCAGTGTCTGTGTGTGTGTGTGTGTGTGTGTGTGTGTGTGTGTACACATGCATGTGCACGTATGTTAAGGAAACTGAACGAAGCATTTGATGACATATGGTAGCTTTCCTGTGTGAACTTTTATAACATGTCTGAGTAACTGGCGTAATTTCACCATTGAGAGATCACGTGCTGGAGTATGACACCCCAATGCTAATTGCACATTGTGTTGACATTTCAAGCATATTTTCTACAACAACATTTGTATTCATAAACAGGTAGTAAAGCACAGGGGGATAATTTGAGTCATGATTCATGTTAACAAATGGATTGCTTTCAAGCTAATTCTCAAACCCAGACTCTTCTGCAGGCCCATTCGTATTCAGAAGCTGTAACACATACAGCTGTTAGTGTAGGGACTGACTAGTACAGGGCCAAGGGCTGCTGCTATTTGAAAAAAAACAGTATCATGCTTATCCCACTACTTTTTGTAAGGTAAGTCTTCTCGGTAATTTAGGCGTTATTAGCCAAGCTATAATTGATGTGTTTATAATGCAATAGCTTATAAGCTAGTAACTGGGTAAGGAGAGGGGTGGAGGTAATTCAATAAAATTTTTAGTAAGCTCTTAAATAACCCAGTTAATACATAATGTGTTGTATATACTACATAATGTATTGTATATACCATATCACTATTTATGATAGAGAAAACTTACCAAAATGGCAATGATCTCAAAGTGTGCAGTTTTAATAACCAGTGTTTGTTTTTGTCTGGTATTTGTAGTCATGCATCATGCTTTGCATGCCTATACCATTAATGTTTTCTTAGGAACATCAATTTGGTTCCTAAAACTCTCAGCCAAAAAACAGAACTTGATCCAATAAAGTATTTTATCTAGGTTTTATTGTTGCTCAGGCAAAATTACACAAACATAAAATTCCAAGGAAATCAATTTTTAAAATGCATAAATTCTTTTGTCTTGACTTTGTCCATGCAAAGCTTCAAAGAGAATTTAAAGAAGGAAAAAGAAAAAGGAAAACAAAAAGAAAGCAGCATAAAAAAAAAACTTTTCTCCATGAATATATTTCTAAATTTAAATTTATTTACAAGACATTAGTCCAAAATATTTATATATCTAATAATTAATATTTATATATCACTTGAAAACTTACATTTCTTAATATTAAAAGAAAACCAAATACTTAAAAATTACCAGATAAGAGAACAATTAATTGTAAAGTTACACTTTTTTGTTATTAACTATTATATCCAAGTAAACTAAGATTCAAAATGTAAATTAACATTACAGAACAGAAAAGGAAAGCATCTTTTTCACTCTTGAGGTATTTCCTATTGTTTTCAAAAGAATATACATTTAAGAATTAATCAGTGCTTTACAGAGAGTTAAAATAATGAAAGGTAAGACCCTACTAGGTTTTTGGTACTCTTGAAAAAGTATTCTGTATTTGTTTAGAATGAGTTTGAAATGTTAAAGAAGAAAACATTGACGTTAATTTTAAAAAAATCTGAAATTTCAAATTGGCAGAATTCCATATTAATCCACTTTCCAACATAAAAAAAGAAAATTGAAACGAAATCTTCTTTTGGTCTAGATGTATCTACTTGTGCAAAAAGTATTAGGTGAAAATAAACAATACTTGAGCAGTTTTTGGTTTTTATTTTAAGGAAGAAACTAGCGGTAACTTCTGTGTACTTTGGTCTAATTAGTCCTATGATAATTTTTATACATTTTTGCAGCTTATCAGGGATTTTTAACTATATCCCAGACAAAGACTATCATTGCTATTTCCCTATTTGATCCTATTACAATTTTGTACATTTAAGGTGAATAAAATGTTAGAAATAAAAGTTGTTCCAAATAAATTCAGTCCAAATCCGAATTACAACAGGACCTTCAACAAATTACAGAAATACATGATCACTCATCCACAAGACTGGATTTATTCATTGGAAATCTAATCTGCAGCCTCAAACTATGTTTGTAGGTGATGATTTAAAGTAAAAAAGTTGTTTTTCTTAAACAATACAGGAAACAATTCCAGGCTTACAGACTTAGAATCATTCCAGTCTTAAGATTTATCAAATGAGCAGGAGATTGTTTATGCATAACAAAATATAGGTTTTCATTGCAAGTAAACCAAATTCCCTTCAAAAAAAACCTCTAGTCAAATTAAGTAGCTATCAAATCAAGCTCTTTCTCTCCTAGAAGACAGAGACTTGTTCTATCATTTATGCTGAAATGTTTTAACCCTATAAGGAATGTTTTATATCTCCAAAACATTTCTACGGCCTTTGGAGACTCCCATGGGTCACTACTTTGTCTTCTCTTAGTTGTTCATTAGGGAATGGCACTACAACCACTGCAGGCCACAGCCTACCCGTAGTATTGGTAAATAAATAATAAATACATGGCTTTTATTCACAACTTCATCATATCAAACTCCAGTATAAATAGGCAAATGTGGACAAAAGAATGCTATTGCTTAAAATAAGGTCTGACTTAAGTAGACTGAAATGAAATTTGTTCATCAAAGAGCTGGATAGTTGCATACATTTACATTTACATCTTTTCTTAGCTGTATGTATGTGGGGAGAATTTCTCCCAGTTTTGAGTAGTCTTTTTCTTAACTAAAAAATTAATTCTTGTACTATTAAAGGTAGAAGTTTCAATTGTGAGTTAAGGCTGAAGCAAATGAATGGCCAACAAACTAAGTTGTGTTTCTTAGGAAGGAGCACTAATTTGTGATCCTCCATGATCACATTGTGAATTTAAGAGAAAAAGAACTAAAAATACTTTGAAAAATGCCTTACTTGTTGATCATTCTTACCGTGATTTTGTAATGTCCCATTTTAGGTTTTTTATCCTAAGAAACCTATAAAATATTTAAGAAGGTGCAAAATGGCCCCCTAAAACTGACGCTGATTTCGTCCATCCTGACAGATTACTGTCTTTCACAAAGACAACTACAGACTTGGTGTTGGTTGCACCAGTGAAGAAAGGTCTCCATTGGAACGCGGATGTTAAACAGTCATAATCAAATCATTAACAATTAAGTTGGGAAAGAAATGTATTCTTTCCTTCAGAATACATCCAAAAGGTGGTTTAAAAAGCAAACCATACATAGTTTACAACTTGGAGTTAAGAAGTATCCAGCCAATGACCTAATCCAGAATAATTTCGCCTCCTCAGTCCCCTTTCTGCTTTGGGATCACATTTTGATTTACTGGAAAGAGCTTTTAGAATATTCAACAGGGGTAAATATGGATGAAAATGGCAAATGATTAGCATCTAGGAGAAAAACCACTGGGAAAAGAAGTTTAAGTAAATACTGTACTTTCTGTACTTTCTGAGTTCAATCAATGACAGTGCTATCTGTATTTTTCTAAAAACCTGAGAGCTCACTCATTGGTTTTGGAACTGCAAGCAAGAAAAGTAAGTAAACTGCTATGAAGCTAAAGGAAAGAAGTATGAGACAGGAAGAAAACCTCATACTATATTTTGACATAAAAATAAAAAAATAAAATAAACAAACTCAAGGCTGTATCAATGGCCAGTAACATGAGGTCGCCGTAACCTGCTATTCCCCAAGCATGTAGATTACTTTCTACATTCAAATGGGAAACTACTGTTATTACACTTTGCAATGGAACTTGCATTAAGAAATTTAAATCTATGAAAGAGATATTTTACAAATAAAAACAAGTGGTATGAGACACAAAAGTCATATAGAAAGATTCTGTCATTGCCATCGTTTTCTGTTGCTTGGTTTAACTTGCTATGATAAGTAAAAATAAAAGCTATTTTTACACATTGTTTTTAACCATTTAGATTGTCTTCCATTTGAGATAAATATAAGATGCTCACTGAAAACATACATTATTATGAGTAGCTAAATTTCCACAAGAAAATTTTGGAGTATCAGTTTGGGATATCATCTAGTACTTTACAGTGTGGTATAATAATGATAAACCCATTTTATACTTAATATTACCACCAAGCAACACCAAGCTTCTAAATCGTCTAAATCTTTTGTGTTTCATTTTAAATGGAGACTATAAGTAAGAGAACTAATAAGATATTATACTACCAATTGTTTTTCAAGTCAAAAGTAATGTTACCTAGAAAATACATTAGTGCTGTAACTGGATCTTAAAGATCAATTCTATTTCATATACTCTGCAGCAAAAATAACATTTCTAGTAGGAAGGGATTAATTATAAACCTAGCAAATTCTAGACATTCACATATTTGTGTAAACAATTTTCAACATGGTTTATTACATTTCCAGAAAGGTTAGACTTTATATACTAAGTTTCCTGCTAATTCTTCTTTCATATATTATAATAAATATATGTTATTGGAGTGCATGTATGTTTGCATTTTTACACCCATATATGTCATATATACATAAAACAGCACTTAATGGTAACTTCCTTTGCATGTTCAACTTAAGAAAATAAATGAATTGCTATTATGCCTATCTCATGGCAATCTTCCTTTCAGTTTAAAAAATGGCCATATCGAGGTGTAAACAACGCATTGGAGCGAGTCATTCCAGATGAACTGTATCTCATGTGGCAGCTTGGTGTTCTCATGAAGTATTGGGTACTTCCTGGTAGCAAATACCTAAACACAAAGTGCAATAGATTGTTACAGACAAGTCACTGTTAGCTTCTCTTACCAAAGGGTTATATAATTAGTAATAATATGTTTCGCATAAAAATATTGCTATAACCAACAATGCAATTTCATATAAAAGTTTCCTAACAAAAGTTGGGGAATGTCACAGAATTTCACTCAAAGAGTGATATTAGCATCCCAAAACTATATGGGTTGATTTAGAATATATTATCAGTTCCTGTAAGTAATAGTTCCCTAAAACATGGGAAATGAGAATTTAATAAGAATTTGATAAGCCACAGTAAAAATAATTGTTTTAAGGATAACAATGACTGAGTATGAGAATGAGTCACTGATGTATTGTTAATCTCAAAGAAAAAGCTAAGGATTAACATTGATAACTACAGTATACATTTTATATTCTTAGACCATGTAGTGCTTATGAGTTCAAGTCATATGTAATATCACATGTGATATTCCCAGGTTTTAGAAAGACAGGATATACCATATAACATATCTATCAAGGCATCTCCTGAGACATAAACTCCTCATAAACTATTATTATTTATTTAATAAAATACATGAATACTAACAGAAAAACAGACAAATAATAACTATAAGAAATTCACTCAATTTCAGTTCAGGTCAAATTTATCAACAAATGAGACCTTTTTAATTGAAAGCTTTAGAAATTGGGAATTTCAAGGAATAAATTGCAGACACTTTTAATTTCTTTTCCTCTGTAAACCCTAAATCAGCATTATGCCAGTCCATTTTCATGTCTAGAGAGAAGTGGTCGAGAAAAACTACATGAACAAATGCAAACCGACAATATTATTCCAAGTATACATCTTAGAACTGAGGAAAAGCACACGTCATGAAATCTGCAGAGATTTGAGGAATTTCTGAGAGTAGAAGTAGCAGTAGAAGGAGACTGGCAATTAACAATGGTCTTGGGAAAATAATGGTATATGATCAAATGATTTACTTTGCTGTCTTTATTGCTGTCTGATACTAGGATCATCCAGAGATAGTAATATAAGCCTACAGATGTATGAAAAAAGTGAAGGTCAAGAACATTATTAGCTGCTTGCCCTATGAGGTAAGTAATACTGGTACCTAGGATACCTCTTTGTCCATGAAAAATTAGATTTGAGTTGCTTCATATAAGTTTTGCAGGAAGTAATGAATTCATTATAATCAAACTGCATACAATATTCAGAATAAAATAGATTTTTCCATAATATCCATAAACATTATTTCATCATGAATTATCTAATAATATCCACTAAATCTTTTACCTAATATCACAAACTATAAATAATTGCTCAAATCATTAAGTTAATAGAGCAGTAAAACAATATACAACAAACTAAATTAAATCAAAATTCCATAATGGGTGATGAATAATGAAACAACTGGTTTTTCACATCACAGATTATATAAATTATTTTCTTAATATTACTTGGGTAATTTATGTGGATTAATTATTATGTCAAGAGCTAGTGGAGTTATGATGATTAATCTGGTACCTTTTGCTATGAAACAAGCCTTGTCTTGCTATTTAGGGCAAAGGTACAAAATAACTAAAGTCTTCAATAAAAAGCACTATTTTGTATTACTAGAATTTTTCTGTTTCTAAAATGCATCAAGGATGGCTCTGATAATTATCCATTGAACAGAGTAACTTCTATAAACTTTTGTCAAAACTACTGTTATACAAACATTACCATTGACATCTTAGTAATATTTGTATCAACTTCTTTTGATTTTTTGAGTTTAATTTTTTTATTGTAAAGATACAGAGGGGTAACAGTTACATGAGTAAGGCAATGAATACATTTCCTATCAAGCATTGTTCCCCCCTCCTTTGTCTTTCCCCTACTATTCCTTCCCTCCCCACCTCCCCAGCTTCAACTTCTTTTGTTTTGAAATAGCCACTAAGTATAGTCTAGGTTGGCCTTGAACTCATGACCATCATTTCCAGTCTCACAAAAACTTTCAAATTCAAGATTTGCCACACACACAAAAATAATAGCACAGAGTTCAGAATCACAGCTAACTCATATAATTACATAAATAGTATTTCCTATGAGCTCAGCACTATTGCAATTGCTTTACAAATATTAACTCATTTAGTTCCAGGAATAATTCTGTAAGTAGATTTCAATCTTAACTACACTTTGCAGATGAATAAATTTCGTGAGAAATATGGGGAACAGAGGCCTTTACAATGGTCACCCAACTAATAAATGTCCAGGCAAGGACCCAAGTCCATGCAGCAGCTCCAGCAGGATGTCTCTTTGCACTACCCTGCATTGTCCAGACCACTGCACATAACTGTCCTTGTATACAAAACTCAATTTCAGAACTGAGGAGTGGGAGGGAAGGGATGATAGGAGAAAAACAAAGGAGGAGGCAACAATGCTGGATAAGAAATGTACTCATTACTTTGCTCATGTAACTGTAACATTACATTATTTTCACAATATAACACAATTTTAAAAACTTGGGTACAATTATTGTTTAATAGTTTTCACAAATATGAATAGTAAAATACCTAGGAAGTGGAAAAATATTATACATGCCACAAGCCTAAACTTTTAAATAAAAGCAGAAGTCAAAACATTTCTAAGATAAATGAAAAAGAAGAAAGTATGAACTTGAAAAAGCATACGGAATTACGCTGCAAAAAAAAAAGAGACCCACTTTGCTTACCTAAAGCATATGCTGTGAAATATTTTAAAGCCTTATAGACATATACAATAAATTACGTGCCTTCACATCTCCATTCATCTCTCTTGGGAGATCCCACACTCGATGAATATCAAAGACTATTTTTGAATTTTTTTGCAAGTAGACTTAAATAATACAACTTAATTTTTCTTAAACAGTTTATCTCAAGGAAGTACTACAGACTGTCTAGAGTTTATGTGAAGCACAAAAAAGTGAAAAAGTTTGAAGCCATATTTTGTTTTTCCAACTACTGGAACAAAAATAACTCATAGATACTATGTTCCTGAAGCAATCCCTCAAATGATTCTCTTTCCACAGACCTATCACATTTGTGGGAATATACCACTTGAAACTGATCGATGTGGAATCTGTGTGTCTTTCATGGGGCAGCTTATTGCTGACAACAGAGGATAGCTAGAACATGAAATATTTCAAGAGCAGTAGGGAACTAATCTTGATCTTCTTAGAATTGGATCAGGACCATGACTTTCGCTCAAATAAACTGATGTTCTAGAATTTAGAGAATAAGGGCAAATAAAGGTCAACAGACTAAGTAGCCTATATTTCTTGAAAACTTTTATTGCATTAAAATTATAGAACATAAGCAGGGCCTGTTAGTGCACACCTGTAATCTCAGCCCTTGAATTCAGGAGGCTAAGGCAGAAGAATTCCCGGTTCCGGGAATACCTGGGTGATATAGCAAAAAAAAAAAACAAATACCAAGGTGGGAGACATAGAAAAAAAAAAGGAGTGGGATTATATAAGGTAAAAGTTTATTATTTGAACCACTATTAAGTGTACAATTCAGAAAATAAAATTCATTCACAATGTTGTTATAACCATTACTAGGAATTCCAGAACTTTTTCATCTCCTCAAGCAGAAACACTATACTCATTAAATATTAAATTGGTTTATTTTATTTTTTTATTGTGCAAATACCATACAGAGGGGTTACAATTACATGAGCAAAGTAATGAGTACATTTCTTTTAATTTTTTATTGTGAAAATACTGTACAGAGGGGTTACAATTACATGAGCAAGATAATGAGTACATGTCTTATCAAGCATTGCAGCCTCCTCCTTTGTTTACCCTTCCCATCCCTTCCCACCCTTCCTCCCCCGTCTCCGTCTCCCATCTTCCGCGCCCCCCCTCCTCTCCCCTTCCCCCTCCCGCCCCCCCCCTCCCCCGTCAAAGTTGTAAAGTTCATTTTTCGACATCTTTTTTAACATCTCTACAGGTGGACCCATTGCAACAATGAGATGTATTAGACGTTATATTGAAAAGCGAACTTTAAATATTAAATTGTATTTGACCTTCCCTCCTTCTGGGCTAGGATGTAGCTCAGAAGTGGATGGATAAGGTTCTGGGTTCAATGCCAAGCACTAAAAAAAAAAATTTTTTTTTCCCATTTCCTTCCTTCCTAACCCAGTCTATTGGACTTTCCTGACTGACTATGGGTTGGTCTCTTTTACCTATCACTTATCAGTGAAATTATCGTGCTTGTCCTTTGGTTTCGGCTAATTGGCTTAGAATGTTTTCAAGGCCTATCTTTGTCCTACCATCTATCAGATTTTGTTCTGTCTTGTGGTTTACTAATATTTCCATTGTAGGTACCTAGCATATTTTGTTACTCTATTCACCTGCTGACAGACATCTGAGTTGTTCCCAGCTATTGGCTACTGTAAACATGTTTCTGTGAACACTGACACTCACATCTTTTTCAGTCCTTGCTTTTTAGTTTCTGAGTACATACTTAGCAGTGCAATTCCTAGATCATATGATTAATTTATATATAGCTTTTGCAGAAACTGCCAAACTATTTTCCACAGCTGCCACACCAGTTTACATCCTCACTCATACCGTGTAAGGACTCCAAATCCATACCCTTGCTGATATGTAATACTTTGCATTCTTATGATAAAATCCATCTTAATCAATGTACATTGCACTGTGATTTGAACTTTGGTTTTGTGTGTGTGTGTATGTGTATGTGTGTGTGTGCGCATGCACGCACGCGCACACATGTGCTCAGGCACGCGCCAATCCTGAGGCATGAACACAGGGCCTGGGTCAAGGCTAGCACTCTACCCTTTTAGTCACAACTCCATTTATTACTTTTTCTTTTTAAAAAAAATTTTTGGTGGTTAACTAGAGATAATATTCGTATGAACTTTCCTGGCCTGGATGGACTTGAACCACAATCCTCAGATCTCAGCTTCTTGAGTAGATAGGATTGAAGAGATGAGCCACTGGTGCCAAGCTGAACTTTGATTTCTGAGGGAAGGATTGTAAGCCCTGGTGAGTACTACCTCAAAATACTTGTATATTGGTAAAAGTGAAGTTATGGTTAAACCACTGGGCCTCTATGCACCACAGTTTTCTCGGCTGTGGAAAAAAGCTAACTGATATGCTTGCCTCATACAGAATAGAGCCAATAAAAGCGTTCATAAAAGTAAAGTATTATGTATCATATATACATATATGTATCATATATGTATCATATATATATGACCAGCTGTCTTACTAGCTCAATAGCACCATCAAACTATCTTAGCTCAAGGCTATGGATAATACCTAGTAGTTTCTTTTTTCTTTTTTCTTTTACTTTTCCATTTATTTTCTTCTTTTCCTTCAAGTTTTTATTTTCATTTTTTCCTTACATTATTATAGGATTTAGTAGATAATAGTTGAGATCATACCATTTATGATTTTATTTTAAGATTGTCTTACCTATTCTTAACACATTGTATTGTAAGTATAAGAACAAGTGTTGGCTTCTTTCATTACCAAAAGCCAAACAAAAATAAAAATCTGCTGCAAATTACATTATGATTGCATTGAATTAATAGAAATAAGGAGCTATTTAGAAAAGTCATATTAATAATAGTGATTCCAATGACAAGTAAGGTATTCCCTTTTTTTACACTTTTCTTGAATATACCTCTTGCACATTTGTTGTTAGATATATTCTAAGTATTAAATATTCTTTTGAGTTATTGAAAAAATTATAGGTAAAATTTAACATTATAGCTGTTTATTGTTAATATAGTAAATTATATTTGAGTTTCTTATACTGACTCATTAGCGTTGTTAAATTTTCCTGATTTATCTATGGATTTATTTATGTTTAATATAATATATATAATATTTAGTATGATCAAAATAATATTAAGTAACTAGTAATAAATTTTAGTTCTTTTTTCAAACCCCATGTTATTCATTTTTCTTGTTGTTTTCCTCATTGAAATAGCTAGAACCTCTAGTACAACTCTGAACAGAAGTAGTGAATATAGTCAATATCATCATGTTCATTTGAAAGGGAAAACTTTCAACATTTCAATCTTAATGTATGTTTGTTATAACATTTCTATAGCTATTGTTTATTGAACTGGGATTTCTTTATTTTCTAGCTAGCTAAGCAGTTTATAAAATATGAATCTATACTGCAGTCCATTGAGTGGTTTGTCTTCTGAAATAATCTTCTATTCCATGAATGAATGCAGTAACATACTGAACACTGCTTAATCATATAGACTGTCTGTAAACTGATACAATAAGCAGAGGTTGGTCATGAGCCATTACCCTATCCTCTGGGTTCCGTTTGCTAATTCTTGGTTTAGGATTTTTCCATCTATGTTTAGGGAGAGAGCTAACATTCATTTCCTTTAGGTTTTGTATCAGTGATACATTAGTCTCATAAAACAATAGAAGGACACTTCTCTTTTTCTGTTCTCTAGAAGGGTTTGATAGAATTGACATGTTAAACCATGGATTCCTAGTGGCTGAAAAGTAGCTTGGAGTTGCCAGTTTCTCCAATGGAATATGGTGCTGGTGTTCTAGAACTGTTCTAGAACAGTGTGAGAGTGTGTGTGTGTGTGTGTGTGTGTGTGTGTGTGTGTGTTTCCAATTGACCATCTTGTTTACACAACAACTGTATTTGCTTAGTTATTATAAGCCTACATATAAGAGTGGCTTTGAGCTTGTGCTTATTATTTTTATGACATTAAAAGATGAAGACCACTCTTTTCCATGTAATTAATACCATAAACTCATTAAAATCTTAGAAATTATTTCTCACATCTTTGATATAAATTTGACATCAATTTTATTTTATTATTCTTATTTTTAAAATAAATTAGTCAAAATGATATTTACTTATGAATTATTTAGGTTTACCTCATAAATATAACTATTTTTATATTTATTTATAATAAATATTTATTTACAAATATAAATTCATATGTACACTTCACAAGTAAAATTACTATATTAAGAGGTTGAGATTTTAATATAAAGAAAAAATGTTATAGATTCATTTTCTTATCCATGAGAGAAAAATTAACGTTTTAATGGAAGAATGTGAGTTAATTTACTTGAGCTTTAATAGCTAGATATCCATGGGAAAAAAAATGTTTATTTCCCTCTACTTCTTAGGTTTCCAAGTAGAACTAACTTCCAGGAGTGGAGAGTTCCTGGCCTCTTTACCAGGACTGAGTTACTTGGTTAGCATTAAAAAGAAAGAGTTCCATGTGGCTCAGCCCTTGTGCAAAGGGGATGCATGCTCACCTGCCCCACTGCCATCACTAAAGGACCAGACTTTATCTTCAGATATTGGTAATGGATAGCTTGGGTTGATCCAGCTCTGCCTTGGAATGGATAAGTTTAATTCTGGAATTCATTCAATATTAGAAAACTCATTAGGCTCATATCTATACCAAGTTCCCAAGGTAATGTTGATCAGAAACAATGCTACATTTTGTGATAATCTGCCTGACTCTTGTATTTCTCTCTCAGAGATTATGAACTTTGGCAGCAATGAAGAATGATGCCTCAAAATTCTTATACTCACAATACTGGAGTCATCTGAGCACTTAATCAGAAGTCCAGAACTTAGGATCAGGGATGACTGAGTTATTCCGGAGGAGAAAATCAAAGACCTAAACCAACTGTAAACCTATCTCTTAGAATAACCAGGAGGAATCATCTGATTTGCCTTTCCACAAGCTACATGATTCACCAATAGAAACTGGGTTACAAATTCTGGTATGGCAAGAATGATAATGCAGAGTCTGAATGCATTCTCTTCCTTGTAGTAGAATTTAAAGTTTGCCTGATCATCCTTTAAAGAGAAGGTCTTCATTTATGTTATTATATTTAAACAATCTGTCTCTTTTAAATCACTTTGAACTATCACTAAAAGTAAATTTTATTTAAATAATTTGCAACAGCCAAAGCATTAAAGTTGTGCAACATCTGATGTTTATGAAATTAAAATAGTTAACTTTATCTCTTCCATTGCTGTATCAGTTATTATTTGAAGACGAGTTAAAAAGGTTAGAGATCCTGCAAGAGTACAAGACAGAATCCACAACAAACACTGCTTAAAAATACCTCAATGTTTTTGTGGGAAAAGATTCAGTACTGTTGTACTATTACAGGTCATTTTTGGAGAAAGTGAGCTTTTAAGATGCACCCTGAAATCCTTTTAACAAATGGATGAATGTCTAGCTGTTTCAAAAAGAAAATCCAAGCTAGACTTAGTACATTAATCTCATTTATTCAACCCTTAACTGACTTTTTCCTTCTCTTATTTAGTTTTACAAAGTTACGGCTTATATTCTTTTATCTCAAATACTATTATAATTTACACATGATATAACTGAATTTAAATAGTCATCTTTAATTCTAATAGGAATTACAACTCTTCTCAGAAATTCTGAAGTGTACTTATCATGTGATTTTGCAGCTTAAAAATATTTTTTTTCTTACTTTTGGAAAACTACCTATCTTGACTGAACAACATTCATAACACTCGATTCTGAAATGGAATGTGACAAAACTTCACCTCGCACAGATCTGCTTGGTGATGAAGGAAGGTAGCAGAGGCATACTGAACAATAAAATTAAATCAAAGGCATCTTCCACACTGAAGTAGGCTCAAGGATAAATGCTGAAATATCCCTATTGGGGAACAAAAGTTAAATTCGTTACTATAATTTAATATTTTTCCTTAATTTGTTTGTTTGCTTCTTTGTTATGGGTAGTGCTAATGCCTTGCACTTGCTAGGCTGGTATAATATCACTGAGCCTTGCACCTCCAGCCTTCTTTTCTTTTCTTTTTTTGCAGGGGAGGAGGGAGTTCTGGTTATTTTCAGGTAGGGTCATGCTTCCGGCTCAGGTACCTGCCTACATTCCTGAACTGCAGTCCACTTATTTTAGGCTTCCTGTCAGTGCTGGAATGACAGGCGCACCACTACATCCTGCTTAGTTTCCCTCTGTTGGGATGAACTATCACAGATTTTTCTGCCCAAGCTAGCCTGGAACCATAATCCTCCCCATTCTCAGCCCCTCAAGTAGCTAGAATTATTAGTGTGAACTAGCAGTGCCTGGCTCTCAGTGGGCTTTTGAAAGAAGAAGTATGTAAAGCAAATGAGTTCATCTCTATCACCTCAAGTGTGTAATGGCTAACTCCACTCAGTCACTTAAAAGGGAAATAGTGTGTTAATTAAAAGGATTTTTTTGGGGGTGTCCAGTCGTGGGACCTGAACTCTGGGCCTGGGTGCTGGCCCTCAGCTCTTCAGCTCAAGGCTAGCGCTCTACCACTTGAGCCACAGCACCACTTCCAGATTTTTTCTTTTTGCTTATGTGGTGCTGAGGAATTGAACCCAGGGCCTCATGCATGCAAGGCAAGTGCTCTACCACTGAGCCATACATGGTGGACATGTATGAATTTTCATGTTTTAGATGTTTCTCTAGCTATGGAAGCAAAAAGAGATTCAGTTGCAAGCTGTGCTGTGGCATTCCTTTAAATAAAATTCCCAGGATCTAGAGAACAGAAATCAGTACCTGGAACTTCCCCAGTCAAGACCAAAGCCTGACAGTGATCCTCTTGTGTCCATCGTGTATTTGTAAACCACTAGCAGGCACTGTTTGCAAAGCTCCACCAGGCGCTGACAACATTGGAGCTGTAAAGGAGTCACCACCTCAGGGCTTTTACTGAATATGCTCTCCCAAGAGGATCTGTTGGCATAGAAACAGACATGACTTCATGTTTGCTGTTAAAAATGGTAACCAGCTATAGCACTCACTTAGCAACAAATCCAGAAAGAAAAGCAGAAATGGTCTGTAGTCATGATGGACGTTTGAAAGATACAGAAATACATAGACATTGGAAAATAACCTTTATAGTTGAAAATCTTAACAACTAATTTATATACTCTGTGTCTTTAAAGCTTTTGGTGCTACCAATCCATAGGTAGCTAAAAACATGGTTTGTCAACACCTCCTAATTACTAATTACTCTGTGTTAAAGTGTTTCTTAAATGTTCGGCAAAACTTCTTAAAATTTAATTTTTATTTTCTTGAAATCTTTATCTTAACATTAATAATAATCTCACAAAGGGATTAAAAAGTTGCTGCAATTTAGTTTATAATTGCTGTCCCATAAGAGAATTAAGATTTAAACACTTGATTATGGCCACTCCCTTTCAAAACATTCTCATACACAATTATGTCCTCGATAGGTATTCCTAGGACACAGGCTGTACTCGAGAGGTATATGTTACCTCAGGAAGGACTGACCTCCTGCAGTCCCAGCATTGTACTTCATCCTTCAGCATGATAAGTTTCTTCTGAACTCACATTCATGGCAAACCCCAATTGTTCATGCACACAGGTGTTTGTAGGTGCTTGTGTATGTGTTAATATTAAGAGTTCTTAAGATCATCACCATGGCTTAAATCGGAAAACACCTCAGCAGTAAAGATGAAAGAAAGGGGGGTGGGCAGAGAAAAGACAAAAAGAGGTACAGAGATAGAAACAGAGACAGAGTTGGAGAAAGAGACAAAGACAGAGAGATACAGACAAAGAAAGAGAGAGACAGAGACAGAGATGGAGACAGAAGCAGAAAGGCATATGGAAACAGACAAAGACATATTCCTTAGTGTAAAGGAAAGTCTTTATAAGCCTTGAAGAAAAAGTAGTTAGAGACTTGGTAATAGTTCAAGTCTCACTTTACAAAAACTGATTTATGTAATTCTCAGAGGAGAAGAGAGTAATTTTTCACAAAGGAAAAAGAATTAAGAAAAAATGTTTCCTAAAAACCTGTACATCCCAATGAGAAATTCAAAGACTCTATTTTTCAACCTTATGTAAATATTTGGTATATTTGAAATTAAAGAAAAGGCTTTAAGCACTCAAATTTTTGCTTCATTGAGTTTTTGTTTATTTGGTTTTACTAGAGAGGCTACTCTTAATTTTTAAGGGCCAAGATGGTCTCACAAAGATAGCATGTCATTAGTGAATACATTTTCCTACATAAGATAAAGAAACAAATTTTCCCTCCATGTTTTAACATGCTTGGGTCCAAATATGATACTGTTTTTTCTCTTAACAAAAGAATAAACATTTAGCCGGGCGCTGGTGGCTCACGCCTGTAATCCTAGCTACTCAGGAGGCTGAGATCTGAGGATCGCGGTTCAAAGCCAGCCCGGGCAGGAGAGACCGTGAGACTCCTATCTCCAATAAACCACCAGAAAACCGGAAGTGGCGCTGTAGCTCAAGTGGTAGAGCGCTCGCCTTGAGCTGAAGAGCTGAGGGACAGCGCCCAGGCCCAGAGTTCAAGCCCCACGACCGACAAAAAAAAAAAAAAAAAAGAATAAACATTTTTATTTAATAAATAATTATATGCTAAATAAACAAATTAAATTCAAATTATTAGAATATGTAAAAAAAACTTAACTAATGTATGCATGCATTTACACACAGAGATATATAGATATTGTCATTTTACTTAATTCACCCAAGAAAAATATTGGAGAAAATATATTAGGGAATGTGTTTATAATTAATATGTCATAATCCAGCATAAAATGTATATACATGTCACAGAAAGCACCATATTGTGTTGTTGCTTCCCAGTACTTTTCTCTCTACTAGAATTCTGATTATGCTTATGAAAGTTTACCCTCCATTTTTGAGGGTGATGGATATTGTTTTCTTCATACTTTGGTGCTATTTGATTACATCTACTATCAAACTACCCTAATTCAAATAGAAGTTTAGAGATGAAAAATAATAAATAAAATGGGAGAAAGAATAGGAAAATGGAAGCAAGATAAGAAGTCTTCTTTAACACTAATTGGATGTAACTTTCGGGATAATATCTAAGTTAGGATCAGTTCTGGTGACTCATTCTCTCATTCTTTTTTTAAAAAAAATTTCAAAATAAGTATGTAAACCAAGTTCCTACACTAATACTTATTTCTTTCTTGACTCAAGCTGAGTGGATCCACATTGTGCCCCCACCTCCTACCCACCACCTGCATTGCTGAGTACATGTGAAATGTCTCCATATGACTGTAGCATCTCTACAATCAATGTGAACAACACAAAGTTCCCTCAAACATTGAGTGGAGATAGATATACGTAAAAATACCAATGCTTGTATCCAAGAACCCAGGTTCTTATCTGCCTAATTTCTGAATCTAAATTCCAAAGAGAGAGAAGCACTAAAATAAGCGAATTCCAAAGAAACATTAAATGATACTAAAGGTTCTTCTGGGCTCTCCCTAATCCACAGAGAACTAGGAAAGGAAAAGGCTTAAATAACTTTTATTTAGAGATATAGTGGTAAGAGACTGAATACTAAACACCCAGGAATTAATGAGATCAAAGACTTAAAAATTCTAAAATAAATCAATAATCCAGTAACTTTCACCATGTTACATTAAAAACATCGAATAAGGAAATTATGTAAGGCAAGAAAGTGACTCATTTCTTTTGTCTCTTAAAAGTTTTAATAAAGGAGTGGCCAGAAAGCAATATCTGCAAAACATATTCTGCAATAATATATCAACTGAATGAATAACCATCAAAAGAAAGACTAATGAACTAACATACTAAACAAGGACATGCCTAGATGAGATGATTTCAGAATAGGAAAGTTCAGCTTTCTGTTTTCAAGTTCTGTAAAGTTTGCTTTTACCATAAGATTCTATTTTTTAAAGCCTTTTTTAACAAGATAAATTCTTACAAGAAAATACTTCTGGCTGGAGTCCAAACTAGATTCTCCTCTTTGGGGATTGATTGTTTTGGGGAAGGTTTTGACTGCAGAAGGTTGTGTATGTGTGTGTGTGTGTGTGTGTGTGTGTGTGTGTGTGTGTGTGTGTGTGTGTGTGTGTGTGTGTTGCTGTTTGTTTGTTTGTTTGTTTGTTTCCTGGCATGTTACTCCCTGCCTCCTCCTCTTTGTTTAAGCTGTTAAACTCCCCCAGGTTTCAGCTTATCTGTCACTTCCCAAAGTCACTGTTGGTGAGCCTTCAGGTATGAGTTTTAGTTTACAGAACCCTAGACTTCCCTTATCCCAGTGAAATATGGCAGCGCAACTTTATTCATGAAGATCCCCAGAGCTAGTCCCACAGAGTGATCACAGTCAGAATGTGAGGCACCCACACTCTGCAGGTCTGCATGGGACTGAAGGGTTCTTGGGCAAGGGCATCAGCCTTGAAGAAGAAAAGACAGGGATAAGGGTATTTTCTGTTTGATGCATCAGCAACGCCCCCTGGGCTAGTTCTAGAAAACCTACCACAAAGAACTACAGTCCTCTTTGATGTTTCTGGAGGTGAACAGGGAATGGCTGACGGTTTTGTTCTTTTCTTGGGTATGCTGACAGAGACAGGAGTCAAGTTAGCCCAGAGTCACTTGGATTATATATTTTTTAATATTGTACACCTAAAAGAAAGCTACACCTTATATTTAGAACTATTCTTTGCCTTACAGGCCATTTGACCAAAAGTTAAAGATTATATGTTATGAAGAAAAAAATCAAAGGAAATACAAAAAGTCCTACTTTGGATTTTAATCTCACAGAAGAAAATTGGAGGTTTTTCTCTTACAAATCAGACTTCCTCTATTTAATAGAACTGCCTTTCAGCTTCTTCCAGGGACTCATATCTTTGCTACTCAAATGTAAAATTCAGATCTAGACCCATGCTATCAAGGTCTAGCTACCAGCCACACATGGCTATTTGAATATTTGAAATGCTCCTAATTTGAACTGAGATTTCTTGTATGTATAGAAGGTACATCAAAGATTTAGAATGAAAAGAAGATACAATATATATGAATTTTCTGTTTATTGTATGTTGAAATGGACATATTTTCACTCTATTGCACTGAATGAATGCTTTAAAAAGAAAAAAAGATTGCCCGGCATTGGTGGCTCACACCTGTAATCCTAGCTACTCAGGAGGCTGAGATCTGAGGATCAAGATTCAAAACCAGCCCAGGCAGGTCCATGAGACTCTTATCTCCAATTAACCACCAGAAGACAAGAAGTGGCACTGTGGCTCAATTGGTAAAGCACTTGCCTTTAGCTGAAGAGCTGAGGGACAGTGCCCAGGCCCAGAGTTCAAGCCCCACAGCCAACATAAAAGAAAAAGTAAAAAGAAAAACACACTAAAAAGGGCCATATGTTAACTACATATGATTTAAAGGATAAAGTAGAACTATACGAGATCCAAACAGAGGATCAAGCACAAACAGTATTATATGATTTCATAGTGAGGCCTAGGAAATTCATTGGTACAGCTGCAAAATAAAGCTTGCGGCTAAACTCACCTCTACAAACCATCAGTTGAAACAGAGAGCCAAGTCTCATACTAGACTCAAATGACTCCTGCTTCATCTATTAAGGCATAATGAACTAGGAGGAACTGGGCTAGTGGTATGGGGCTAGCTCGCCCAACACTGGAAAATCTCCTTAGGGAGAGAATCCGTTGCTTGGGCTCTTGACTTAGACCACCTGGGTATAAATTCAGGCTCATCCAATTTCCATGGGAACTTAGGAAAGATCCAAACTTTAAGCTTCAATTTCCTCATCTGTCAGGTAAGAATGATGACAGTTTACTCAAAAGTACTTTTGTGGAGATTATACAGACAGATATTTACCATGCAAGACAATGACAGTCACTTAGCCTTTAATAAGCATGGCCTCTTATCAAGATCATACTAGAATTAAAAGATAAACACTAGGAAAATCTATAAGAGTACTATGCTGGGAACAGAAGACAAGAATTCTCACTCGAGATAGAATATGTTCACAAAAACAACTTAATAAAGAAGCAAGGAAGTATATGTTACTGGTAGAATTAGGTTCTGATAGTTTATCTATCGATTCAAATACCAATACCAATTTCAATAACAAACTGTCTCACTTCTACTGTTGGGAAGTAGCATATATAGCATCAATCCAACAGACCAAACAAAGAAAAAGAATGTTGATTAGGAGTCCAACTAGGGAGAATTTTCATAGCGAGCCATCAATGAAAGGGCTGTACAATATAGTTCAAATATTTCTCTAAAGTCTCTGTAGAAATAAATTTATAGCCAACATTATTCTCATATTTCCCCACAGCCCAGAGTGCTCTTTGTTTAGTGGTGAGGCATCGGAAAATGGGGTGGTATCTATGTCAGATGGCTAGAATATGTAAGTGGACACTTGGATCATTTCAGAACTGAATAGTCTGCTAAAGTTTTATGAAAGATCTATGGTGGAGTCTACATCTTTCTTCACTAAAGATTCAAAACATATAGGCAGAACATTTTTTAGAATATGTGGAAAACAATGAGCTATTGATCTAGAGTGGAGATCAATAGGAAAGAAAGAGAAAGAAGATCTGAGAAGAAAGAAGAATCAGAGTACGGGAAACCTTATTTTTGTAGATAAGAAATTTTCACTTTGATGGTAAATGAGGAAAATCACTGGATTTGAGAAAATAAACTTCACAATGAGATGAATAGGGGAAATGAAACACTGGAGGCAGAAATCCTCAGAAACCTTTTCAGTTTCCTTGGTCTTTCTACCACAAAGGATCCTTACATGAAATCCTATCACACTTCCTCTGTGCCTCTTTTATAATAACAATGCTTTTTATATATCATGTTTCTTCAGTTAGAGACTTTTGAGCTTATTGGTTAACAGCATAACTCTGGGGTCAAAGTTAACTGAGTCCAAATCCCAGCTCCTTAATATCTATCTGCACCTTGGTTTCCTTATCTATAAGAGGGAGATAATAAAGAACCTGATTCAAAGTAATGTCCTGAGGATTAAATAAATCACTTAATACAAGTTTAGTCAAGTGTCTCAACAACACCCAGTACACAATGGCTGTTATCATTAAGTTTCCTGACATTAAGGGCAGAAGTTTCAACTTTTTATCTCCAAAAATATCTAACAGAATAGAAAGAATTTCTTAATTGCTAAAAGAATGAATAACAACAATCTACCCTACCCATAGTGGAATAGAGCTAATAATTTAGTTAGGATAGTAACTGAGGAAGAAGATATCACACAAATACCAAGCCTGTATGATTAGGAGAATAGCAAAGAAGGTAGGAAGAAAGGGAATTTTTAAAAACAAAAGGGCTTAGAATGTTTTTTGTTGTTGTTGTCATTTGTTTTTTGTTTGTTTGTTTGTTTTGCTCTAGGCTAGTGTCCTACCACTTGAGCCACAGCTCTGCTTCTGGCTTTTTGGATGGTTAATTGGAGATAAGAGTCTCTTGGGGTATCTTGCCAGGCTACTTTTGAACCATGATCCTGTTTGCTGTTTATTCTTTGGAAATGGAGTTGTGTGAACCTTTTTGCCTAAGATTAGCTTCAAACCTCAATCCTCTAGATCTCAGTCTCCAAAGTAGCAAAGATCACAGGCTTGCACCACTACTGCATAATGATTTAGTTACTTTGGGAACAAAATGGCAGCAAGTGACAGTAGCTTCACCCGCACTGGGATTCTGGAAAGATGCCATGGTTTTAGAAGTCTGCTGCATTAACAACAGGAGAATTTTTAAGATACTGATTCATAATTGAAATTTTTTCACTTGTTAAGATTATCTTTTCTATGCTAAATTCATATTAGTCACATGGTGTTAAGTTCAAATAAAACATCTTGTCCAAATCAACTTAATTGATATATATTATTGAGTACTAACAATTACATTCAATAAAAAAGCAAACATTCATTTTTAAATGATTAGAAAATGCAACCATCTTACTGAGCTATTTCTATAACTAGATAGTAAAATTTAAAAATTACAATAGCAAACAATAACTTTAAACTTACCCTGAATCACAGAAACAGCTCCACAGTCCTTGGCCATGACTCCAGAGTAAGCGATTAAAAACTCGGTTGAAAATCCGATATAAACTTACTTCCTCAACATCAGGTACCTTCCAGATGCGAGGAAGAACTGTACGGACACTTGATTTTACTATGTCCAAAACCTAGTGGAAAAACAAAAAAATAAGTGCTTAAAGTCTAGTTAAATATATTTAACATTCAAAGATGAATATAGTCAGTTCGTACACATGGCTCATGCTGAGATCTGAGGATCAGGGTTTGAAGCCAAGCCTAGACAAGAAAGCTCATAAGATTCTTCAATGGACCACAAACAAAGAAAACAAAACAAAACAAAACAACAAAAAAAAAAAAAACCAGAAGTGCAGCTGTGTCTCAAGTGGTTAGTACAAGGCCTTGAGCCAAAAAACTCAGGCCCTGAGTTCAAACCTCGGAACTATAACATGTACACACCGAAAATGAATAATGTAATACATTAAGAAGTGCAAAAGTGAATCCATGCACTTCATGATGCTCTAGATAGGTGAGACCATTGGGGTAAATAAAGATTTCAAATAATATTCTTTATCATGAAGTTGGATCCTTTCTTCAGTCAATTAATAAAACTCAACCTGAAAAGATTCCTCTTAAGTATTAAAAACTGAGCTACTAAATATGCTAATGAAAGTATGGAACTTTTAGGCCCTGGGTTAGAAAAAGATTACTTAAAGCTAGGAACCAATAGCTCACGCCTATAATCCTAGCTACTCAAAAGGCTGAGATCTGAGGATCTCTGTTCAAAGCCAGCCCGGGCAGAAAACACCGTGTGACTCTTATCACCAATAAAACACTCAGAAAACTGGAAGTGGTGCTGTGGCTCAAGTGGTAGAGCACTAGCCTTGAGCTGATGAGCGAAGAAGAAGAAGGAGGAAAAGGAGGAGGAGGAGGAGGAGGAGGAGGGAAGAAAAAGAAGAAGAAAAGAAAGAAAAGAAAAGAATAGAAAAGAAAAGGAAAAGATTACTTAAGTCACATAAAGTTGTCAACCATGAAAGATTAATATGTTGGATTGTATCTTGAACTTCTTGGTATCTTAAAAAAATGACAACTTATAAACAGGGAAAATATACTTAAAACATATATACTTGACAAAAGATTAGTATCAAGAACATATAAAGGATTCCTAATAAATTATTAATATAAATCTCAGGAAAAATTTGATTAAAAACTTATATATAGGTATTTCACAAGAAGTCATAAATATGCCAAATAAACTTACAGAATAAAAATTAAAGCTAGATAGTAAGATAGAATTATCCATACATTTATCTAAATGGCGAAAGTGAAAAGTCTATTAATAGCAAGGGCTTAGAGAAGTTATGGATGTTCAGATACTCCTGGGTGATGCTAGTATAAGTGCAAACTTGTGCAATCACTCTGAAAAATAATTTAGCCTTATCTCCTCCATTTGGAAATTCAAATAGCACATAGCATCAGATAGCACAGAAACTTTATTCCTAAGCAAATATCTCACAAGGAAACAGAGGAAATATGTACAAAACTGCTCACAACGCTGTTCACAATTATAGATTCCTAGAAGCAACTCTCCAAAAAAAGCGAGAGCAGATAAATGGGCTGATTCTTCTCCTTGAACTATTACACAGTAGTCAAAACAAATAAAATCCATTGCATAACCCAGAGCACCTGGACAATAATGTTAAGTTAAAAAAAAAACTTTGTGTCATCCAGTAGGACAATCTTAACAGAAGTAAAAACAGCTAAAGTTTTAAAATATTAATAGGAAACGAATGGATATAATGTTAAAATATAATGAATTTAGAAAGCAAGGACTAGTGACTGCTCAATTCAAGAAAGTAGTTCGTTGCACCCAATGAACTCTTTGGTTAGATATGTTACTATCAAGATCATAACTTTAGATGTTGGATTTAAATAAAAGTAGGCCAGTCATACACAGACTAACAAAAAGAAACTGTCATGGACCAAGAACTATGATTAATCCAAACAACTGAAACCTGCATGATCTTAGAATAGATGCAAAACAATCCTTGAGAATAAACTAATTTTTATCTAATTCACATGCATGTGCCTCTTATGCATGCAGGTATTTCCAACAAAATTCTTGCTTAACAAAGAAAAAAGTAAATACCAACAAATAATTATTCTAGTTTCATTTCACCAAAGTGCATTATTTCATAGTTGGTTTTATCTATCCACTGATGGGAAGTGCCTATTAAAAATGATAGGGAAAAATGAAAATGGAATAAAGCCCCTCAAGCATGAAGGTAAGGTGAAAACATCATTTCTCTCAGCTGGAACAAACATGAAGAACTAGAGAACTCTAATATTCAATAAATGACCTAACCAAGGTAAGTTTCAAGTAAATATCCACTAGAGTAAATTTAGCAAAAGTTTTCAAAATACTCTATTCTTTCTAGAAGAATACAGACTAGAGCCTTTCCCATTGAACTGTGTGAGCATTCTTCACTTCCCTCTGCATTGTCTAACTTCCTTGGTTGCTGAAATTCAAAGCCTGTACTAGGTCAAGCTCCATCAGGAAGGGGAGGAGAAAGGCACAGATAATGCAGTCTGTAATAAAGGAGCTTATGAAAAGCATTGTGCTAGAAAAACACATTATTACCAATAATGATTGTGTAATTGTGGGAGAGGAATTTGTTTAAAACTTTAACATGAATTATTCAGAATAAAACCGATAAAATATGCACATGAGGCATAAATTTATGCCTTAATAAATTCCTTCTAAGCTATTAGTCTAACTCGATATTTTTTAACACAGAGGGCGATACTTGTGATTGATGTGATCTGAAAATCAACACTAGCAGGAAATGATACACGTAAATCACTTCTCTTTTCCATTGTCTGCCAATGTATTACTAAGTATCAATAGGCCAATGTTACAATTCAATAATAAAATATAAGAAAGTAGCAAAGTATGAGTTCTACAAGTTAATCTCAAGAATGAATACAGGTTATATGGAAAAACTGACATGTTAAAAGGGTTACCAATACGAATCCCTTTTCACATTATATCATAAAAGAATTATTCATCTTTAAAAGCGATTAAACAATTGAGATTATGGCCATTCATCCATTTCTTTTCAAGCATACCTCATGGTCAATTACACAGATACCCAAGAACCAAACAGAGGGCAGCTAATATACTTCAGTGTGTCCCGTTCTGTGCAAGCACTTGGCAAGGTAGATGATTTATAAAGGAAACGTCCTTGGCCTCTAGTCTGCAGATATTTTCTTCTTCATTTAAAAGCATTAGTAGTCTACTGTCCTAGTCCATACAAGCCTAAAAGCAGCAGCTTGCGAAGACAGTCAAGGAGTTAGGGATGGTGGATGTTTTCTGCATCTCCTTGTAGATGGAGATAGAAAATTCTTCTGCTGTCTTGGCACCCCACAAGCACCACTCACAAGGAGATTTCCCAGGATGCTGAGATGAGCTGGGTCTGAGCAATCCAGGAATTTCCCCCTTCTTTTCCAGATAAAGCCACAGGGAACATACATCCCCCCTTTGTTTCTCTATGCCTTCTGAGTTCAAGGAGCTTTCCAAGAAAGTAAGCCCTTGTCCTCAGAAAGGGAAGGGAAGGGAAAGGGGGGAGGAAAGGGAAGGGAAAAGGAAAGGAAGGAAAAAGGGAAAGGAAAGGAAAAAGGAAAGGAAAGGAAAGGAAAGGATTATAATTTGGAAGACACACGAGGGGACAAAAGCCAAGGGAACAGAAAACCCAAATCATCTCTTCCTCAAGCCTTCTATAAATTTCCTAACTGTGTTCGTCATCTGTCTGTTCACCTCTGTCCTGGCAGTCTCCTGTTCAGTTGGCAAAATTCTTCATTTTAACACAAACACCATTTCTTAGGGAGCCCTTACTTGCCAAGAAGTTAAACTCAGGTGAGATGATTTAAGAAATGGAGAAATTTTGGCCCTCCTAATATTATACTTAATACAACCCCAAGGCTTAAGACAAGATCTGCCACTTAGTAGCTGCTGTAATAATGAGATGTTTCTTGCAATGAATTAAAGACTATTCTAAAAGATTAAAAATCAGACCTAACACTTACTGAGGACTCACTATTTGCCAAGTACTGTTCTAAGTACTTTTATACATATTTCCTTATTTACTCTCAAAATGACGTAAGATATTGGTCCCTTCTGAGACTCTTGAGGCTGGATTTCATAAGAGTATATGTGAACACTTCTACAGAAAATATAACAGTCTTCAAAAGCAAAAACAATAAACTCCTTCCTGTCAAATCATTGTCATCTAATGAATTCCAGTGGGTTGGATTTTGCTAATAAATGATTATGAAATATTTGAAATATTTGAAATGATTATGAAATATTTGAAACATTTGGGATATCATATTGTAGATGACAAATCGCACACACAGATGACATAGCTAATGAGTGGCCAGCTATATGTCCACAATAATGGTTTAGCCTCTTCCCAACACTTGTCTTTGTAAGCCAACAGCAAAAGCCCCAAAGAAAACCCAGTGAATGGGCAGGTACCAGTGGCTCATGCCTGTAACCCTAGCTACTCAAGAGGCTGAGATATGAGGATCGCAGTTCAAAGGCAGCCCAACAGGAAAGTCCATGAGACTCTTAGCTCTAATTAACCACCAGAAAACCAGAAGTGGCACTGTGGCTCAGATGGTAGAGTGTTCCTCTTGAGCTGAAGAGTTCAGGGACAATGTCCAAGCCCAGAGAAAGAAAGAAAGGAAGGAATAAAGGAAGGAAGAAAGGAAGGAAGGAAAGAAAGAAAGAAAGGAAGGAAGGAAGAAAGGAAGGAAGGAAGGAAAGAAGAAAGAAAGGAAGGAAGGAAAGAAAGAAAGAAAGAAAGAAAGAAAGAAAGAAAGAAAGAAAGAAAGAAAGAAAGAAAGAAAGAAAGAAAGAAAGAAAGAAAGAAAGAAAGAAAGAAAGAAACAAAGAAACAAAGAAAGAAAGAAAGAAAGAAAGAAACGAAGAAAGGAAGAAAGGAAGGAAGGAAGGAAGGAAGGAAGGAAGGAAGGAAGAAAGGAAGGAAGGAAGGAAGAAAGAAAGAAAGGAAGGAAGGAAGGAAGGAAGGAAGGAAGGAAAACCCAGTGGTTCATTTTTAGATTCAGATCATCCCTAGCCAATGATGTC